AAAGTTGTTTACAACGAGCCATGAAAGAAGCCCTCCAAGTCGATTATAATCGGCTGATGAACAGTTAGTTATTCGCCAGGCCTCAGGTTCACCAATAAAAGAACTTGGTCTTGACCCTTTACGATTGCGGCGGCCGATAAAAAACCTCAATTAACTATAGCATTTTGATTTTGAATTGGTATTGCAAACCACTATGGAAGTTTTGCAAAACAAATTGGACACATTACATTTTATGCAGAAAGGAGCAATTCGCTGGCAAGAAATGGGGAATGAGGCGACTAGACGATGTTCAGACTACGTTGTAGTCATGTCAACGCAACCGAATTGGTTAAGTAGCGGGTGCCACTACAAACCCCTCTTTTGATCGCGAACCTCGAGCAAAGGCGGTGACTGAATATCCTCTTCTCTCCCCATCGGTCTTCGCGTAGTTTATGTGCCTCTGACTTTACACATGGACCTGTGTAGCTATGTGACTATTGGAAAGTCAAACGTCGGTACCACATACCGGCGTATTACTAATGCCTTTCTTTATACCGAAATTCCAAATTAACCAAAAATTACCATACTCTTTTACTAGGCTTTTACTTTCGATATACCGTCTACACATAACTCTTTCGGTTAACTTCGTTCATTACTTCCACAATACTTATCATGGATATCATCTCCGAGCGTAATGAACGGAACATGAGCAATAGAAAATTCCACCAGCATCGGTAGTATTCAAGTAAGATAACAAGTTATAATATCATGCGGAAATCCAAGCATACACGCGCACTTATATTAGTTCGATCCTTCTGCCCCATACCTCTTAACCATTACATTAAGATATATCTAGTTAGCACAATGTGAGAGCACAAGACATCCGCACTACATTGGTGCTGACCCTGCTTGAGATCACCCGTGGCGGAGCCGTACGCTGTCAGGAGCGTCCAGAGGTTGCGGATTAGGAAATGCCTTCTTTGTGGAGGTAACTGCGAATAAGTCTCGTCTGCTTTGCAGGTGAGATGAATATGCAGCAGCGTCTCAGAGTGTGGGGAGTTCTGAGCTGGTCACCTGGTTCTCCATCAAATACCACAAGAGCTCGTACGGCGCTGTGTCAAAGCCAAGGTGACCAGCTATAGGGTCACTGACCACTCACTTCTGTAACCAGAGGTGAGTATCTAACGGAGGGCGGATGAACAACCTTGCTGGCCACCGACTTCTCTGTGGACTGCAACCGAACACAAAGGGCGAATGAGCCACCTGGTTGTCAACGGTCTTCGTATTCAGAAACCTGCGTGAATCGCCCCGTTGCCTTGCGGGTCAGGTCTTTAAGACCAAAGGCTCGGGGTGGGGTCCCTTAAGTCAACCCACTTCCTCGACCTGGGCAACCAGAAAGCTCGCTGCCCACGCAACACATGAACCCGCATAAGCTTTTCGCTGACTTTCTTTTTTCCTTTTGTTGGTTTCACTCATGTGTTATGGCACCCTGCCAGTTGTTTACTTAGGATCAGTTTCTCGCAAAGTCGAGAAATATGCAGTATATTTATTTATAGCTCCCTGAAACGTCGACGGTTCCAAAGAGCCACCAGTTGTGTTCAAAATGTTCTGAAGCCACACTTGACCAGAAGTCCTAATATACATCGGTCGATGATCAGTGATGCTAGGTTGCGAATTAAAATGGCCAGCGTCATTAAGAACAGATGAGCAAGCTTTTGGTTCATTCAGAAGTCAAAACAAGAGTCACACGATTTAATCTCGGAAAATTTTCAAGCACGCTCAACAGAAGCTTTTCTCCAGAATTAAATCGCACAACACTTGTGTCAAATATATGTTGAGAGTTTCCTCGAGAAATAGTTGATTCAATCGCTCAGAAGAAGTCACAGTGTGAAGCACAAGCCGTCGGGTAGTTAAGTCGGTTGTCGCCTCCCCGCGTACTGAGGCTGAAGTTGCCTATGTGATGCTTCCTCTCCGCAGTTGGGCTAAACCGACTTACACTTAAACCACATTTTTGTAATCTGGAGAAAGTTATTCAACTTTATTTGATTTGTTCAGTTCTCTTCTACAAACTTTACGCTACTCATAAACATCCACCATTACCCATTGGACGTCTGAAGGACAGGTACTTCGGTCTATTGGGAAGTGACGGGTGAGTGAGCCAATCTGCAACAACAGGACAGGTACTGTGAGCTTATTGGCAATACGTCGCGCACCAAGCAGAAGTCATGTGTTAAAATGTGCGCACCTAATCGTCAGCCCTCGGTAGCTCAGTGGTAGAGCAGCGGACCGGAAATTCGTGAACCGGGGTTCGATTCCCCGTCGAGGCATATTATTGTGCGTGAATCTTAATCGTGACTTCTACTTTCTACAAACTTTACGCTACTCACAAACATCCACCATTAATTCTCTTCTATTGTTGCATCTTCTGTGTCAGTTTTGCCTGTTTGCTTTCCCTCAAATGGCAGGTTGGTTGTTTGATACCCCGGTGTGATTGCGTTGAGGTGAACGTGGACAAGATGCCTACCTGTCTAACACTCTCCTCCTGGATTACTGGTTTCAGGAAACCGTGAATCGTTGCTAGGCGGACGGGGTGCACGGTCCTTCTGGCCGTGCTAGGCTCGAAGAGTGGTTGCATGCAGTGTGGAGTGGACTACGGCCCACCCACCGCCTTGTGTAGATCTAGTACGCAGGATCCCCCAATGAGGCATGTGCTTCTGCTCTGCTTGTTGAAGGAGTGTGGGCCGACTCCACTGGTGAAACGTGACTCCCATCCGCATGCCACCCGGTCTTATTCCTTCGGGTTTACACTGGATATGGGGTGTGTTGATGGAGTTGTGGTTGGTGCAGTGCAAACCACCCATGGTCCCTTTGTAGGCGCAGGCGCCTGTGGCTGTCATACGGAGGTCGCAGTGACAGGCAAATCCAGAACCGGATGCCGCCAACCATGTATTGTATCGCCACCGATTGTTGAGTTATTCGAACCCACCACCTGGAGCTCCGAAATCACAGGCAGAAGCACCGACTAGATGCCACAGGAACCACCGATGCAATAAGGGGATAAGATGTCTGGACCGATCATTCCCTTCACCACTGTTTTTCAGCATAGGTGACATCCTTGTGATCGTTCTAACCAACACTGTATAGCGTAGTGAGAAGGTAGGTCCAAACTGGCAATTGCCGACGGACATACGTATGACGGTGTGGCCGTTTGAGTGGGTTTGATGGTATGACTTTGAAGGACAAGCCATACGCCGTCAACAAACCATCGACTATACACAGCGGCAGGGGTTTCTATGGACGCGTCAATTGTAATCATATACCAAGGTGACTCTGCTGACTGCACGTTGGCACATAGTGGGGTTGGGAGAAATCCCTGCACTGTTCATAAAATCAGTCAACAATACAGACAGACCAGTAGATGGTATGCTTGACTAGCAACTCGCCGATTTCTTTGCTCACAATGTGTCGTTGAAGGGATGATCCTATTGACAGTACGCGGACCAAACTACCGTAAGTTGATTGGTGGCTTAAGTCTACTAAGTTCACTGCTTGGTGAGGTAGCGACCCATTCCTACGCACGGTAGTAACGCGCAATACAGTGGATAGTGAGCGGCGCTATGTCACATCTTGTAGCAGTCACGATGGTCATTGCCGTCTCCCGTAGCTCAGTGGTTTCAACCACAGACCGGCAATAGTCGAGTTTTGGGCTCGAGCTCTACAAGCGTCAGATGGAATGCACACTGCTGACGATTACAGAAAAGATGAAACGGCCATACAGTGCCTTTCTGGGCGTGATGGCTGTCTGACTGAACAATGACACAAAAATGTTTGAAGTTTCAGATTCCAGAACAGAATCCCAATCCTGTCATACAGTTATTCATGGCCAACATTTGGGCTGTGGCGTGCCGGACCGGAAGCCCCAGACAGCATTTTGGAACGGTGATGAGAGGCAACCATTGCGAGATTGCGCCTACAAAACTCCTCACTCCCAAGAAAGTAGTAACTTCAGGCGCGTGCGTACTCCAAGGGTGCAGGCATGCTTGAAACTGAAAAGGACCAGATTCCACGATGTATCAATATTTGCAGGGAAGAGAACACGCTTGACAATGAAACGCAATTATGTTCCCTTGTCCCTACAACCAAAAACTGCGTCTGCTATTACGTTCGTTTCCCAATCGATAAGGACAACAATTGAAAAGAAGTCGGTCAAATTAACCAAACTTATGGCCCAAAGTACACCAAGGGTACTCTTACAGTCAGACAGAGTAATCGCCTGTGAACGAAGACACACTGAAATGCAACGTCGGGAAAGCATTTACCTAAGAAGACGTTCGGATATTAATCTGTCCAAAGTGGAAGGAATTCAGAAGTTATACTTGCTCAATGCGTCAACGAATCATGTCATGTCTTACACTAAAGGGGATAGATGTCCCGAATACTCCTGTGCTGACAACGTACTAGAACGAACGACACTGCACACTTGGTCTGAGCTCGAACCACCTTGGTGTTGGATGCATGTGGACCCAGGTGGGTCCTCTCGTCCGAAAGAGTTACGTGAACCCCAGGTAACCCGCATTTTTAAGAGAGGAAGGTGTTGGAGGTGAAAGAAAAACACAGGTATACTTGTGTAACCGTTCATAACTGTAGACTAGGATTTTTTCTGTGTTGCAGAACATTTGTTACTACCGCTTGTTACATACCCCTCACACGTCCCGTGGTTCTTTGAGATCGATAAATTCAAATTAGCCCTCAGCCGTGATTGGAACTGGACTTAGAGTGTTTTCATACCCACGCCGGCCCGTGTAGTGTTCCGCAAATATACCTCCTGTCCGGTGCGTTGTCTTTTTGACTCGTGGGGCGCAATCTAAGAAGTCGAACGCCTGGGGACACAACAGGAAGGTTAAAAGTTTTCTAATGACTTCGATCGTAATGGCCGATTCTCCATGGGATCGGACAAACCGTATGCGATACGATAAGTTAGCGCCTTTTTGTTTCCCGAGAGTGAAGAGCACTCTGGAAAATTGCAAATTAATGTTGTATTGCAGCGGTAAGTATATACATATGACAGACGTTCACAATAGAGGGCCAAATTCTCTAGGTCTATACACAGACCACCAAGCGCACCCATGAAAGAGAGCACACAGACGCTCAAATGTGCAAGTCAAAACAGACCCGGGTAGAGAGACGTATTGAGGGGGACGCGCACGCAACCATACACGAGCACATGGCGTTCATCAGAGCTGTACGCTGTTGGAGAGGAAAACTCTGGCACACATCTGATCGAGGAAAGCAATGAGATCAATCACAGGTGAGTGCTCTCGTGTCCGTTGAACATACGTGAGAAATGGCCGTCACATAGAGAGAAGTCAAGTGACTACGCGAGGACACTTGCCCTCAGGCAACACAATTCACGGGTTGAAGAGTTGACAGATAGGGGAATACTGGGAGAAACGAGGGGGGATGTTGGTGGCGAGTAAGGGGTAGAAAATGTGACCTGAAACAGTTTTGTGGTCGTAAGAGAAGAAAGAAATAGAAATCAGAAGAAAGCAAAAAAAGAAGAAAAATAGGTTTCCAAAAAATTTCTTGTAGTTGCTGCTACGATGACTTGTCCTTCTTGCCCCTCCGATTGTGATTCCCCTTCGGTTTGATGTGGTGCCACTAAAAGGCATTCGGAAAAAACAGAAATGTAATGCGATTCAGGTATCCAGAAAACGTCACAAAAGAGGAAGTAATTGCGGATTGTGTGAAATCAGGGAAGAATTACTTGTCAAACGTATGGAAGGCGATAAGCAAACCATAGCCAGATGTTTGACCGGGCCACTCGTTGAAGATGGTGCCACAGTAGAGAGAGTGTATACGCTCAGCGAAAAGAAAGCAGCTGGCCAGTCTTAATACAGCACGCAACCAAACCGGACAGTTCAAGTGGAAACAGAAGTCTAGTGTGCGATACGATACAGGCGACCGCAATGAAGATGAGAGGATTATGCCACACGCAAGCCACACAGGGCATAATTAATCATACAACGTGATAAGAGTTTGCTGCCAAACAGTGGTTTCCCTGAGGCTTTCACTGCAATACTAAGATGTAAAGCGTGCGCGTACAATGATCAGAGGTTCACAACTTTAAGAAGAATCGCTCGTTTTACCCAGGAGTTAAAAGAGGAGAACTGTGTGCGCTTCTGATTGTGCGAAACAGGCTTTATGATTTATAATTCGTGAGGAGAGGAAGGAAGCTGACCACGTGAAAATATCACGGCGAACTCACCAACGACTCTGGGCTTACAACGTGATAGTCATGTGTGGCCCACTACAAACAACCATGGAGCGTTAAGCCAAAACGGACCAGTGAGGAACACTGACACCGATTTTCGGCAAGATGAACACCGGGTTTGTACAAACAATAAGTTCAATCTATGGAGACTGGGAGGAAGCGAGAGTGAGAATTTGCCTCATGGAGACACTTAACACTGACATCAAACAGTAAGCCATACAGACGAATAGATACCTAGCACAAGTCAGGATGATGAGAAAAAGCGTGGGTTCCACCACTCGGTTTGTGCAGCCAGGGGACTTTTCGGTGTGTGAAATGAATGAGCCCTCACAATATAGGGCCAGACTTCTGGAAATCTTCGCACAACTGGAGAACACTGGATGTTTGCGGTACAATACTACTCGGATTTGAGACAGGCGCTGGAAGACGCACACCAGAAGATTACTTGACTGTTTGCCTGGCAAAGCCATGGTGTCAAAAGCGAAACAATATGCAGGCCATTAGAAACCAGCCGATGTTTTTCAAACAGCTTTGAAATCATGGAGTTTTTATCGATCTCTGGCATATGCCAAGGTTTAACATTTATTTGTTTGGTGAATTGGTAGTTTGGTTTTCCATTTAAATTTATCCAATAAGAGCACAGCGACAATAGCCACGACGACCATCAATGTCGGCTGATTAGACACCGGGGCATTGTTGTGGAAAGATACAAAAGCGAAAGAAAAATTCGGGTAAAATCAACACGGGTGAAATAACTGATTAGGGGTAGTGAACTAGACGCATCTCTTCCGCACGTCTAACTTAAAACAGAGCCCCATGATCGGTTGACTCGGCTACTGCTCTGCCATCAAGACAAGGGACAACAACGGGATCATCGAAGTATCGGTATGCAGTGCTAGTGCACACAGACGAAAGGTGAAAGACACAGCGGTCGTAAAAAATGCAGCTCACTTACAAAGGACCCTTGAACAGGGAAGATAGATTGTGAAAAGCAAAGTATCTAAGAAAGAACGTCCAGAGAAAGTCAGGTACGTCAACTGTCGCAGAACATCAGTGCAATAACTAGCTGTAGAGCCCATAAAAAGGAGGGGGTTAAGTCAAAAGGAACGGCTTTTACCTGCGTGTCCTGAGCAACAGTCATTTGGATCGCCCCTGTTTTTGTCCAGCCCGCTCCACCGTTGCACCCAGTGGGCACGGTGCCCCCTGGACCATGACCAATGCTGGAGCGCTTCTTGTCGTTGCAGCGGGACGTGGTCTCTTTGGCTGCGTCCGATTGTGAGACGGACTTGAGCACGGATTCCTTCTCACGGCGCTCACGATGTAGCTGCCAGAAGGGGCGCCGCTGATCCAAGAAATCTTTCACAAACAGGCTGGTTCGTGTAGACTCGTTCAGAAACGTGTGAACCATACGTTCCACCTGCACAGTGTGAAGCAAAGAAGTAGCAAGAGCGTTTGGATAATGCATGGTGGAAAAATACCGCGCTCGGCGATGAAACCTAGTCTGGTCCACATCAAAAGTAATGCATCGGCTGTCTGCCCCGTTATCGTTAGAACATGAAGTAAGAAACATGACAGCGTTAAGAAGAAACGTGAGGAAGGAGGGATCCAACGTACGAACTCATGCCACTGAGTGATAATATTCACAATCGAAGGAACTATATGCGAATATTATAAGATCACGTCAAGCAGCCTACCATGACGATACGGCGGCGACCGGAAGACAGCATCACGAGTACTCTGTTCCACAGCTTGGAGGTCGTATATAGTTAAACAGTTCTAGACCTTTCAATGCATGAACAAGGGTCTCGGTGAGGCTGGACGAGGTTGCATCTTTAGCATAAGTCTCTACGAACCTAATGTGTTGACAAACGAATCAAGCAGATAAAAGCCAAAACCAATGGAATTTACTTCGACACTAAACTGGGAGTTCATGGCACTACCTAGGCACTTTACAAAGCGTTAAGAGTATAGCCGGTTGGTTACACTGTGAAAAAGCTGGGGGGGGGTATTCCACTGGGATGTCGATCGGAGACCGTGATTCGCAGATAGTAGAAGCTGTATGCAGCTGGTGCGCAACAATCCCATTTGTTCGTTGAGGAATACAAGATGGGTGGAAAACAGAAATGACACATAGACGCTTCATATTCCATACAAATGTAAAGATGTGCACATAATGTGGGACAGTGGTCGAGCCGAACGGGAGCTGCCAAAGTGACTGGTAGAAGGCAACCGAATACAGCACCCGTTAAAATTCCACGTAGGTGAAAACAAAGTCAGATAGCATTGGCAAGCATGGGGTTGGAAGTGTATATATGGTATATGTATACACCATTTTTAAGTAATTACATCAACATATTTGCCCTATTAGTTTCTAAACACCATGTCATACATAGCTGCTGTTAATAGAGGTCGCGCCTTTCGGGACCAACCCTGTCCTCAGCAACGTTTGTAACTTGCATTACAGTGAAGGATAAGACGCGCAATATATCACAACTAGCTTGTAAATCCTCACGGTCCGTAGCTGTCACAAGTGGCCCAGTGGCATAAGCTGCTGACTGGTGGAGCAAGCCGCTGGTGGTCAAAGGTTCGAATCCGGATGGATCCGATGGATGCGCACTACTGATGATAACCAACAGGTTGAAACCGCAGTCTAGTGCTTGCCCGAGCATGTGAACGACTATCTGATTTGGAAGCTAGTGCAGCGAACTCTCGACCAAATACATACGAAATTCCCTACTCATAAGTTCACCATGAAGAAATTTATTCGTTGAACCGAATGCTTCATGGAGTAACCAAAGATGAACAACCAACAACAAGGAGACGTATCTTCGAGGCAGCGAAGGTGCAAACGAATGTCCTTGGCGCAGAAAGAGACCCTTAGCAAACTTGTGTTCGTCGACAAGAAAACTACCCAAAAAGCTGCACAATTTGCCGATGTCAACGAGAGCACGGTAAGAAAGATCTCCAATAAATGTAGATCAAATGACGCGACTGTTCAGCGCAACGGTGAAGAAGACAACAGAAAGGAGCCGACCCTTGACGTCCCGCAGCTAATAGATCACTGAACTGTGCTGGTGTAACAGTGCCTGAAGGAGAATGAGATCCAATTTTCCGTACCTAATGTCTGCAAGGCTCTCAACAAACTAAAGGTCACGTTCACGAATTGTCATTACGAGCTAGATCACATCAACAGTGCCCCGACGATCGCAATCCCGTAGGCTTACCCTCTCGAATTCTCGGTACCTGCAGGACATGGCAAATTGCGTCTTTATAGAGGTGAGCGGGTTCAACCTCCATTCGTGAGGAACGCAGGCTCATGTAAGAAAAGGGACGCACGCGAACTTCCTCTAACCCACAGTCAGAAGTCGCATGGTGACGCCAATCATGTCAATGAAAAACAAAGCACCATTAACCCACGGAGCATCAACGATAGCATCTGCATTGCCTCAAAGTTCTCCACGTTCATCTATGAGCTTGTCGCGCGTATACGTTGCAGAGTAGAAAGGATTGATGCATACTTGGTCATGAACAATGTCAGAATGCACACGCCGGAAGGCATGAAGAGGATCCTGGGCTCGTTCAATCAGCTGAAGCTGTTAAGCCCGGAGGAAGAAATCTCCTCGAAGGTGTAAGCGTCAGCGAAGTGTCTGCTGACCAACCGGACACTAGGCGTGGTCATTCAAGATAGTGTCCGAACGACAACACAGCAGGACTGTGTGAATCATGTCACCGCTATGGTGAACTTGACGGCAATAACACCAAGACACCACTCCATTAAATGGTTGTCCCTAACAGTGCTACTTAAATGGTTTTGACAACGTCCAGTTTAAAGTGAAAATGATTATATATATATATATATATATATATATATATATATTGTGCCCCATGCTGAGGCTGATGTTGCATTCTTGATGCTTCTTCACCGCAGTTGGGCTAAACCAACTTACACTTAAACTAGGTCTCTTTAAGCTGCATAAATTTCATTCCAGTTTATTTGGTTAGTTTTGTCTATCTGAATAGTCTTCTATTTGCTGGCCCCGTCGCTTACGCTAACTGCGCTTATCTTCGGTAACTTTGTTGCGTTTGTAGCATTTTTGAGTAACTTGTGGACATTTTTTCCTTATCGCGGATTCATTGCTAGCCAACTTACTTCATATGCTAATTTAGCGAAGAGTTATGCCACCGTATCTATATGCATTATTGGATTTATTTTATTTTATTTGGTCGTTTCAAGTGATTGGCTGGTGCGTGATATCCCCGGTATGGCTGCGCTTGATGTGCATGTTGACAAGGTGCCTACCTATTACCCACTACCTCGTCCATACTGGCTCCAGGAGACAGTTGGTCGTTGCTGGAGGGGACGGGGTGCACGGTCCTTGTGGTCGAGCTAGACTCGAAGAGTCGTTCCATGCACTCAGCGTGGAGCGGACTACGGTCCAGCCACCGCCTTGTGTGCGCTTGATTCCCCAAATACAGTGTGCTTGTGTTTGCCTGTGAAGGAGTGTGGGCCGGCTCCGTTGATGAAACGTGGTTCCCATCCACATGCCTCCCGGTCTTATTCCTTCGGGTTTACACTGGATATGGGGTGTGTGGTTGGAGCTGTGGGTGGTGCAGCGCAAGCCACCCATGGTCCCTCTGTAGGCGCAGGCGTCCTGTGGCTTGCCACAGTGACAGGCAAATCCGAAACCGGATGCCGCCAACCGTATATATATATATATATATATATATATATATATATATATATATATATATATATGAGTGTCGTGAATCCAAATCCGTAAATGAGCCGCGAAAGTGAAGCTAAAGCTCTAACGTAGATCTCCTCCGTCAGGATGTAAGCTGAAGATTGGAACTGAATGAAGTTTTTCAGCTTATGGGTAGTGGTAGTGGAATCCGACCCAATAGAAAGCAGATGATGAAAATCGGTCATATGAAATCCAGCTAAACGGTAAGTTCAGTGCGCGCTGCCTACAATTGAAGGTAAGTGGCTAGCCGCATAGCTTTGCATAATTTGAACAAAGTTTTTGTCCGTTGAATCGGTAGACATTCGGACCGCCGACCGACCGTGACCGCAGTGGGCGATCAACGACGGAATGGTCAGCTAGTGTGACCTTGACGCAGTTAAACATCTAGCAGAAGTGTACACGTACCCCCACGACGCGCACAGAGTTCACAACCAAAAAGCGGAACGGTCGACTGCTATTTGCATCTGATTGGAGATGAAAAGGTAATGGGGAGAGTAGGATCAAAGCGCATGAGTCGTGAATTTTAGTTCACACGTCCGGTCATTGATGATAAATTCATTTGGAAATAGGATGTTATCCGCCCGAAAACACTGCACAACACGAGACATTCCGACGTTGTTTGGTCTCATCAGGTGGAGATAGTAGGCCTCGAATTTGGGACCATTGAAATAGTAACCGCAACTGCTACCCTTTGGTCAAAACGGGCAACGTTTGATACTATCCTGATTTAAAAATAAAACAAGCCAAAACATGGATATCATCTTTTACAAGATTACTTCGTACGTCTGGGCAATTACATGTGGTCGTGATTCTGCGGTCAGATTGAGTGACTATGGGGGGAGGGATTATCAGAAGTTGGGACGTCAAGCTGACCGCTGTCACGTGACCGCGCAGGTCAGAGGTCACAAGCTGCGCGAGTCGGGATAGTTTCGATGCCTACCACCACCACCACCACAGAGTGAACAGATTCGGAGGAACCGACCTAGATCCGCTAGGGGGCGTGCCTTCATCGATTCCGAAAAACAGTGGAATTGGTGGTTTAACCCAAGTCAAAGTTGTGGAATGGATAGCCACATCTCGATCTGATGATGACAAGCAGCTTATTCACTAGGTATAGTAGCTGCTACGTTGGTCAAATGTGGAAGTGGATTCGGAGTCATACGGTCGGTGGATACATACACTGGATTTAGGGATTTCGCAAGAATTCAACGGACATAGGGCGAACGCAATCATAGTTGCGAGAGCCCTTTAATTGTTCCGTCTTGGGCTAATGAAGCTATCTGGAAAGTCTTCATAGTTAGGTGCAAGCGCATCTCTTAGTACCTATCGGGTTAGGGACTGCGACTAATTTTATTCTAAACGGGATTAAGTTATAAAATTGATCCTATAATTCAATCCAATCGCATACCAGGCATATCTGACACAATACTGTTGTTTTACCTCTCTAAGGTCAAAGAGAAAACGAAAGCAGGCAATGGCCTCCATCTCTGAACCGGACACTAGCAGAATTATTCCAAGATGCGCAAGTCCAACGAGCTGTTACGGCCGACTGGAGAGAGACTAGTGGAGGTAGTTGGACCAATTAGGGAGTAAGTGGTCTAAAGAACTGCTTCGAGATCGCGCGGCAAATGATTCCGATCGAACTAATTGCTTCCTCGAGGCCACTCCACCGAAGGCGAATGCAGAAACCGCTTTTAGACCAAAAAACAAGATGGTGGAAAGCAAACGAAGTAGGTATTGTTCGGCTGCAGTGACACCGGCTGAAACGCCAAGCGAGAGCGCATCCGTTATTGGTTTCCTGCCTCTGTGACAGTTGACAGCGTTGCAAAAACATCAACACGTGAGGACGTGACAGAACACCGTCTCCTATTGATTAGTAACGCATGATCGCCGATTGATCGGGTCTGTACAGTGAATAGCGTGTGTATGTGCATCGACAGATCCTAGTCCCTTCCGGTGATTTATTGGTGTCGTTTCTTGACATTATAGGGTGAGGGTAGGGTAAATATCAGTTTGATATGAGCCAGAGCTAGAAAACAGTTGCCGTTCAGAAGAGCAACATCGTCGAGTGTACAAGGTGGAGGGAAGTTAATCCGTTCGGGTCAATGGGGTTTGTATGCTACAACTGATGATTGAATGTTCAAAAAGGCAACAAGGGGAATTGAATCAAGAGAAAGACTCATCGTACACCACAAATAGGAGAGGAAACACATATGCAAAATGGATCCACTGAGAACAAATCCGACATGCATTGATTGATCTTGCCAGAATATGTTTACGTGCGCACGTACACACACACACACACACACGTAGATCACAGCGGAAGTAAGGACCAGCATGTTCGATCAATATCGATGCAAGAGCGCATAAACTAGCCATGAATTCGACAGATAAAATAGGAAGCAAAAAGTACTAAACACAAACACATATACATCTCTATATTTCAGCAAGGAGCAAACAGGTGCGATGCGAGAGATTTACCTCGTAGGGAGCATCCAGTGTCGCCAATAATTCGACCAAAGTGGGTATGTCCACTTTCTCTCGCATCGGCATCGTGCTGAGTCGGGTCTGGCACCATTCCGTAAGTCGTCGCAACTCATGTTCAGCTGTGCGATCTGGATCTGTGGGAGTGGTTGCGGTAGTGGAGGCGGCGATAGTGGCAGTAGAAACAGCTGTGGTAACGGACAATGCCGTAGGTGATTTGGGGTTGGACCGCGTAGTGGGCTTGCTCGGGGAATATGTAGTAGACATCACAGCGACTGTTGCCTTTGACGCACATTTAGACTGTTTGAGAGGTAAGAAAACATGCAGTGATCAGTTAACTCGAGTGGAATCATGGTCAAATGCGGAAGTGAACTGAATACTGGTTGATTCGGCGGAGCTGTACACCACCGGGCGCGTCCCCAGGTTGCGGATCGGGGAAAGTCTACCTTGTGAAGGTAAATGTGAATATGTCTGACAGGAGATTCCGGTATCGTCTCCGTCAATCCATAAAAACGTGTTATTACACTGCTGAGCTTGTGGTTTTGCATCAAGTTAGAAAGTTTCTGTTTAAATCCAACCTGGACATGCATGACTCTCGAGTTACCGCCTCATACATTTAACTCTTTCATTGTAGTTGCGGTAGTGAATACGTCGGCCGAACGGAGAGGAGACCATCCATAAGGATTTTAGAGCATATTCCGCGTAACCTCGTCGCGAGTGGTTCGAAGCTGCCCGCCAGTTCAATCGTCCGACACATACTTGACTGCCCCATGTGTGAAAACCCACGCGAATCATTTAGGATAACTAACCGATAGACCGTCACTCACCTGCTTTAGTTCGCTGAGGCTACGGCAATTAAGCGGCTGAAACCCACTTTGTGTAAACAGACAGAGTTCGTCGCCAGTCTCGCCCTGCGTTGATGACGCTAGTGGCCACATTCCTCTAAACGGAATGCCGGTCAGCATCAGATGAACTTTGACCGTTTCCCGTTATCCAATGACGTTACACCTTGAATGTCACTGTATGCAACTTAGCCATTCCAATAAGTGTATGTAAACGGCTGAGGATACACGAAATAGCTGAAGTCAGATTACCCAGAGGAAACGTTGTTCTTATTCGCCATTTTGAAATTTGTGGAGGGAAAGTCTTGCATGAAATGGCTAGATTTTCCTTGGCTGAAAAGCAGTCACACACAGGTCAAGCAAGTTTATACATAGACATTCCGTATCTCCAAATCAACTATGACTTGGCTTAGGTGTGCGGTCGCGTTATGCTCTCGGGCAGTCCACCGTAATGTACCATATTTAGTATCTTGTTCGCATGGCTAAGCACGCTATGTCCGCCAAGTCAATTCACTGCCCCGCTTAGTGGCCGTGCATAGACCACTGAACAGCAACTGATGTAACTGCGGCCAGGAAGGACGGTGCAATCTACCTGACAAATGAACTACCGCTGAATTGGCGTCTTCGCAAAATTAGGTCATCATCTAAGCGACAGGATGGGAGATGCTACCATAAATATTGGCTTGTATTTTTTGCTGCATCGTAATCCCAGATCAGCGACGGGGATGGGAAGCGCGTTCCAGCGGCAGTTGTCAAGTAGATAGCTTTTATTCAACCGGCACTATCTGCAGGACAGAGAGAATGAAAACTCTTAAGAGACTGTACGATACCTGTGTTCCAGGCAGATACTTCTGCGTAGCTAAGACAGTGTAACGATTTCTTCTGAAGTGGAGTATACAAATTCCTTTGTAAAGTAGCAAAAGAGTGAACGGGTAATCACTTACGGGACTGGCTTGAGATCGAACGAGCTCGGCCAAAGCCAAAGCCTGGGATGGTTGCATTGGAGTTTGATCTGGGCTGTACGCGCCCGCCATTGCGGCCAGTTGAGCCGCCAGCTGTGCGGTCTCAGCCAACTGTTGCATTGGGGAGACCTGCGGATGACCAGACCCGTGTGGTTGCACATTCAGGTACTGGGCCAAAGCCGTGAGAAAACCTGGTGTCAAGGCTGCTGCCCTCAAATCCAGACTGCCACCTATCTGTGACTGCCCGGAGAAGGAGAGAGCCAATGAGGCGAGGGCAGGGTTCACGGAAATCAGGGAGGCCAACGCCATCAGAGTGGATGCAGAAACTGCCGGTTGCGTTGCGCACCCAATGTGATGTAAATTGGTGTCGTAGTTTGATTGACCGCACATGTTTAACCCACCGAACGAAGGAGACAACGAGGTGACCTGGGCAGGTGGTGCACGTGACTGCATCACGGGTAGACTGCTGTTGGCACAGACTCCAGTAGAAAGCGTTTTGGGAATAGGCGATCGGTTGGAATCGATGAGCGGCACAGAAACACGCGGATCGGAAGAAGTGACACTGGCCTGAAAGGGAGAAAGAAATGAGAAAAATCAGGCAAATATGCTTTCGGAGTTCTAAAGAACTAGCTCAATGATTGGCATGAGTACAAAAAGCTAAATGAGTTCTTTAGTAGGACACATCGGTTTAAAGTGGTGTTATGAAGCAGTCAAACCCTCCATCCTGTCCAAGAATGAAAAGTGCACTGAGAGCACAGCTCATACAGTTTTTTTCAGCAGACTAGAACAATGTTGGGTATTGGAGTACCTGTCGTGTGTGTGGCACGCAATCTCTTTTGGAACCTCGGTTAATCACCCAATTACTGGGACGGTATTTAAAGTGGAGAGTTTACGGTGATGCGCGCAGGCCAACCAGGCGGCTGGTACTCCAAACCCAAGTGGAATTCCTAACCGGTGTGCAAAGCGCTGCAAAAGGAGATGTAAGTGGTTCAATGGCTAAGGCATCAGCCACCAACCATTATGCCCACTTCCAGCTCAGACTATGTCGGACGATAAGGACGAAATCGGCCTTGGAGTGTCCGTGCCGGCAGCGAATAACATCAAACTGAGAAAATGTTGATGGTCACTTTGAAGTACATGTTGTGTGGATGGATTGCGACGCGCAATCTCAATGCTGACCGCGATTTCAATGGAAGTGAAGCTTGGTCTTTCGATTACGAGGACCGCAGCTGATGTGAATAGAAATAGGGTGTTGCCCGCTCTAAAACAATAGTCACTAAACCAGTTGTTGGAGGTGGGAGGCCAAAATATCGATTAAAGATGAAAATAAGATTCTCCAAGCTGTGTTTTCAGCGACCGAGCATTTGCTTGACGCCAGTGAGAGGAGGCAGATAACTCCGCAGTTACCTCGATGACGCCAAGCTTTATTACGTGAGAAGTAGGAATTTACGCGGTGGAAATATGTAATTTAGTGACTCAACGGACTGATTAGTAAATCAAGCGAGCAGAGGTCTAACCAAAGATGGCGATAAACGCGAACAAATATGGAAATTAAACCACAGCTTTGCAACATCTAACACGAGAAGAACAACACATTCGATTGGATAGGAAGTATAGAAACAAAATTGCTGATCAGGATATACCTGGCTCATTGGACCACTAACATAAGAGAAACGTGGAGAAGACGCACTCGTGTTATCGGTAGAGAAGAGAGAAAAAAAAACCGGCAAGATAGCGCCCAAACAGTGAGTAATTGAAAAACGGGGATACGATAGCCCTTAGTTTGTGAGGTCAAAGCGTGAGTGGCAGTGTCAGCCGAAGGAGAACAACAAGGTTCAATAATAATACTGGTAAAGGAGGAAGCCGGAGGTGGGGTATGGCGCGCAAACCCCGACAATTGTAGGATGCAATCTGAGCAGACGACAAAAAATGTTGCTTTGACATGTAACAAATCGATCGACGGTGATGGTGCGTATTCAGTTAAAAAGCTGGCGCCCGAAACCAAAGGTGTAGGTTATCAAGAACACGGGTGCACGCAGCGGATGCGTGAGCCACGAGAATTTCACGATAGTATCACGGATCGGAAGAGCAATTTTGTCTAAACATCGTACATGAATCGTGTAGCGAGTAGCCGAAGTCATGAGAGAAGCTGAACTTCACTATATAGGGAAAGAGGGGAACAGGCAGAGACTGATAAAAAGCCCGCCAGTAGATATTGAAGTTAACTCTGTGGAGTCGCATAATGGCGATTGTCAGTGGCGCGTCATACGGTAGAGATAGGCGTGCGGTAAATAGCCAATTCATAAACAGAAACGGAGAGTGCGTTATTGTGGACAGAAAAATCAAGTAGGTAGAGCAAATGTAATTATGAGAAGCGAACAGGTTAACGTGAGGAGTGAAAAATCAAATAGTCACCACAATGAATGAAGGAATATGGGCGCAACAAGAATGCCCTTCTTAAACTAGAGTTCGCATAGGCGGCGGGTTTCTTCGATCAATATGGATGAGGTTAACGTGGCTTTCAAAACCCTACTGCGCCTTGCTGACTTTCCTGCGGTTCATCTAGGCTCTTGTGATAAATTGAATAAAAGCGATGCTTTGTGTTCAAAAGGAATCATAGGGCAGTCTTGGACGGATGTTTTTTTAGCTTGCTTGTGTGAATGTTTGTCTGTACCCCCTAACAATCGTCTGCAATTGCGAGTTATCAGTATCGGTATTGACAATACGATGCGAAATGCGTGCGTCTGCCAAAATTCCTCTTTCCGTTGTGCTTTTTAGATAAAAGAGGAGGACTAGCAAGTGTTGCGACCGATGGGGACACAAGTCAACAAAGCCAGTTGGAGTTTGTCATGGACAAAAAGGCGAAAGCATAGAGGCGGATAAAAATCGCCTATCATTGAGCGAGACTGCCTCTACAACTGCGCTCATTTGTAGATTATGATTTCTAATGGGACTGCAATGCGAAGCAGCCAGCAAACGATACTCGTCAGATGTCGATGTGATGTTTGGAGAAAATATTCCAGAGGAATCAAATAAAACCATTCCGTCTCCTCACTAGGCTGTGTGTGCGGCAGATTTGGTAATTGCTGAGACAAATGAACATCCATGGGGTACTCAATAGCATATTGCCCAGACGTGGGAACCTAAACTGCATAACGATTGTAGTGACATTCCTACGAAAAATCCTGCATTTGCTTACCAATTTGCAGAATCATTCCCGTCAGTCTGCTTTGTTAATCAATTGGAACGATAATTAACCTACTATGTTGCCCCACAAGGTTTTTCTTGGTTAACTCAGTAGCACACATTGGTAGACTGTGTGACTTTGGCCGAATATGCGGTGCTTTCGGCACGCTGCGTTTTCTCTGAGCTCCTGATGATGTTGCAATGGACACTGTATTGCTCTGCTGCGTCACTGGAACCCATTTTCTCGTAATTCTCTGGCCACTCGACCAGGTTCCTCGCAAAACTCCTCGGGCTAAACACGGAAGCCGCAAAA